AAAAGCCCTGTTACAGCCACGATGCAGGTCTCTTAAAAGCTTCATGGATGGAAAATCTGCCCTTTCAGTAATTGCAAGAGATGTTTGTGATGCATGCACTTTACAACTGGAAGTTGTAATATTCCTTTTCACACCCTGCATTTGTCCATGTTTGTGTCTTGCATAATTAGAGCTTTTTTTTCCATGATGTGACACAATTTTAGTTTGATAAAATGCCTCTACTTGCTTTTCTCAGCTGCCCTTCCTATGGATTATTCCAGAAACCAAAATGAGTTTGCAACAACTCTCAGCAGTGCTTTGCCCTGTGACAAGTCAGGTGGCTCAGAAATACTTCATGATAAGGTTCAGTAGGCATGAAAGGAAAAAGATTTCTGCCTTTACTTGGTACCCACATGGTGATGGAGTCCCACGGCCACCTGATGGGTGCCCTGCTGTCACCCACAGCAACCCGCTCTCCCTGGGCATGGTGCAGGCTCCCAGGTGTCCCCTTCCTCCACTAAAAACGCCAGTTCAGCCTCTCTGGCCTGGTTAATCCTTCCTCTGCTAGAATTGCCAACCCCAAAGCTATCAGTGTGCCAATTCCTGTGGTTTTGTGAGGTTTTTTGGATTATATATTATTCTTCGGTAAACTGTAGCTGATGAAATTTTATTGCCCGAGTCCTTCCTGTAGCTCTTGTTCAATCTTATTTTGAAAAAAGAAACAATTCCAGCCCTCAGGGCTGGAGATAAAGAGCTTAGGAAAATGAACCCTAAATGGCCTGGCATTCAGACCAATAAAAAGAGCCAGTCGTCATGTAAATAATAAGCTTTTAAAACAAATATTGGGCATTCCAGCAGTGCTGAAAACTTCTGTTTTTAAATCTGGTTTTCCAGCAGCCTGGACGAGTTGGATTCAGACCTGGCACAAGCCTTTCCCGGCCAGCAAAGCACCATCACCATCCTCCTCCTCAGAACTGCCAGTTCTGAAACAACTTTTTAATGTTGAGAGCTGCGGTTGGGGCTCTGAAGGCGAGTCGGATGCCTTTCAGCTCTGAAGGTGTTTCACGGAGAGCAGTTCCCTGCTCTCTGCGTGTCCCCTGGCCACACTTTAACGGGTAAGAGGATGCTTTGGTGTGTGGGTCTGGCAGCTCTGACTTCCCATTTACCTTCACACACCACCAGCTCCAGGCTGGTGACAACAATGACTTTGGCAGTGATATGTTGAATGTAATTATGGCATATTATCCAAAAGATGTTAATACAAATGTAACCAAACTGGTGTGGGCTACTTTTCCTGGAGTGTGGCATGCTGAGGGTTAAGCGTAGAGAAGTCTTGTTCCCTGCCCATAGCCGGCTTATTTTTGTAACACAGTAGTTTTTGGTAAGTTTGTACTGAGAAAAGTGCTTGGCTAAGGCTTTTACTGGTAAAAACAAACAAACCAAAAATGCTTTGCTCAGATTTTTACTGGCATCAGTAGATGAAATACTTGCCTCAGTTTTATGCTGCAAGCAAATATATATTGATAAACTAAATTAATTCCTTGATTAATTAAAACACATCATATATTCTACCAGAGAAAAATAGAGCATTGATCCCTAGAAATCTTTCTGTGAAAAGATGATGTTTTTAATCTGTGATAGCCGGTGTGCGCAGACACATTGCAGGAGGAGGAGGATGGGGCTGGGCAGAGCTGAGGCAGGAGGGTCACTCGGTCTGTGCAGTGGTCTCCCTTTGAATACGTGATGCCTCCTTTAGAAGATACGTGAGAGAACTGGGAGAGGAAGTAGGAGATCCTGTTGCTAGCTGCTGCGATGTAGGAGGTTGATCACACTTGCACTAGGGTTCTGGGGACTAGTTGGAGGAAGATCAGGGACTAAGCATCCCACTCATTGCTTCTAGGTTTTAGGTTCTTGTGTATTGCTGTTGGGTGAACCTTAATGACAGCTGTTGGAGCTATGCGTTCCTCAGTGCCTTCCCAGGGCTGCCAGAAGCACTTGTCCAAGCAGCAGTTGTCTCAAAACCTTTTGTCCCTTTCTTCTAAACCATCTTTATGTCCTTGGTTTTCAGGTGGCACTGCAGAGCAGGAGGGTTGGGACTTGCTGGCCATCCCCTTTGGCAACTCTCTCCAAAATACCTGGTCCCTTCCCCGGAGGGGGAAGAGATCCCAAGCTGCAGTTGGAAGTATGAAGAGGACACGTGGCAGAGGGCTGACACTGTGAGTTTGCCACTACTGGTGTGTGCACCAGTGATCGGGACTGCCCGAGTGCCAGCACTTGTCCAGTAAACTGCCATCCCATCACTGTCACCTCCTGGCAGCCGAGGACACCCTGGTAAATTCAGCATTCGGTGGGGCATGAGGCAAGGTGGGAAGGCAGTTGGCAGGGGGGTCAGCAGTTTATTGCACAAACTTTACAATATAATTTACCATGAGGTGAAATTACCGCTGGTTCCAAGAGTAAAATGATCCCTGTTAATAGCCTAGTTACTTCACACAAAAGGAATTGCATCATGTGAATGAAGATCTCTACATCCTTACTGGCTGGATCAGGGTGAAGGACACCCTCCTGTAAAGAAGCTCTGAAAGAACAGAAGTTGTCCAGAATGCTAAAATTTAACACTACTTTTTCTCAAAACTTGCTCAAATTTGAGTTTCACCTGGTCAGATAGCAGAAATCCAGATTGGGTCTTATTAAAACATCCCATGATTTATAACTGTTCCCAATTCCCCCTGCCGGGATGCTCTGCACCAGTTACGCTGAGAAAATACTGAAGCCTTAAAGCTGAGGCTGAGAAAACTGCTGGACCCAAGGGGAGAAGACATCAACTGAGCTCTAGGGACAGGCAGCGCTCGGCCGAATGCTCCCATCCAGACAGGCAAAACTCCCACGTAAATCAACATAATCTTAATGGCCACATGTAACCTACCTGCAACATACACACTACAGGAGAGGAGCCACCCTTTGTAGGATGACCCCAGCGTTACACTCGTAGACCTGGGATTTACGGTGCCGATGGATGGTTTATACTTATTTTAATTTAAAGAATGTAGATGCATCATGAAAATAAGTAGGATCAACCCAGCCCCTGCAATTATGCCTTATCGTACCTTAAGTGCCACATAATTACATATTCTTCTGATTCATATTCATGAATTGCCTAAAAATGTATTTACTGGCACACTTTTCTAAGAAAGGCAGAAACAGTTTGGAGGGATGGGGGAGATGTGGGGCTGCCTCCCGACCCCCCAGCAGTGCACCCGAGGTGGGTTGCGCTATGCCTGTCCATGCCAGCTCTTTCTAGGGGGCAGCTGGGTGAGGAGATCTTGTCCCAATCCCACTTAGAAGCAAAGATACTGCCACTTCCTATCAAATTTACAGGATCCAGAGAAAAGACAGAAGGTAGATGTTTTGGATTTGAAGAAGTGAAGCTGGTTTTGAGTTATGACACACAACCTACTTTTTTCCCCCCCTTTTGCTTTCCTAATATGATTTCCAAATCGATTTTTAGAGTTTTATGAGGAGGAAAAAAAAAAAAAAAAAAAAAAAAAGTTCAGTGTTGCAAGACTCAAATTTTCTGTGATATTCCTAATGCCAACATTTTATGGCCGACTTCCAAGCCTGCCGCTGCCGGGGTACTCTTACCGGGGGAACTCAAGAGCGTAACTACCGCAGCAGAGGCTGAGCAGCCGCGGTTTAAATGTCACCGCTGGCTGCTGTGGAAAAACGACGACGGCGTTTGAGCAGGACTGGCTGCCCTCGCCAGGAGAAGAGGGAAAGTGCAGCTGGTCCAACGGCTCGGAGCCCGCTGCGGGGGGGGCTGGCGGGGGCTGCAGCCGCCGTTTCTCTCCCTCTGCACCCTCCGAGCAACGATCCGGCCCCTCGCCACTTGGGGAGGGTGGGGGTGTCAGTACCGGCCCGGCGGCGTGTCCCTGACTGGGACTGGGGTCGGAAAGAGCTGGTTTAGGGCACGAAGCTATTCTGCGAGTGCCATCCAGGGGACGAGAGGTGTACTTCAGCTGCCGGCTGGGGCGGGGAGGGGGGGCACGCACGACTCGAGGGGAGGTGAAGGGTTAAAGCTCCACTTTCTGTGGCTGTTGATCAGGAGGGAACCGAAATGAGATGCCTGAAGCTTTCTAAGGCCCGCCCAGAGCTCAGCCTAGCCACAGGACGGGGATACACGTGGAATTGGTAAAATGAGAAGCGTCAGGAGTTTGTGAAGTGACTGTAACCTCCCCTGCCAGTATGAAAATCCTCATTTTGGCGGTTAGAGTTTGCGTCCCCCCTCCCCAGCACCCCTCTGCTGCGGGGGTCTGGCAGAGAGCAGCCCCAGTGACATCTTGGTCCCTGTCCCCAAGAGCTCCTCAAGTCGTGGGGCTATTGATTGAAAAAACACCCGAAAAAAAAAACCCACCCATCCCATGCTGCTCCCTGTCACCATCCAGGGGCTACCGGGTGTTTAACGGTGATAAACCACGAAGGAGCTGTGAGAGAACACATTTTTCCCTCCTTGTCCTATAACACTGGGGGGGAAAACTGTTTTCAATTGCTGTCACCTTTCAGGTGCTTTAACGGGAAACTTTTTCGCTGTGTGGCTGCGGCTCCCGCGGGGACCGTGATACCCTCCCCCCCACCCTGGGGTCCTGTTCGCCGGTACCGGCGCTAGGATACGGGGTGGGGGTGCCCGGGAGGGACCGGGGGGCGCCGAGGCTCACCTTGAGGATGAGCGGGTTGCGCAACATGCTGTCCCGAACCACCCCCAGCC